ACAGCAATATGCACGCTCTATAATTTTAAATTTCCATTTTTACTCCTTTACTTTTTTTTACTAGTTGAAAAATCTGTTGAAAAATGTCCAACTCAAGTGTCGAATTTACCGTAAATTTCAAGCAAATTATTACGGGAAAAGGCTTCTTGAAAAAGATCGTTTGCATGACCAATAATGCCCTTACGAAATATAATGACAAATATAATGAAAACAAACATGACGAGATGTTAAAATAATGTACAACGTTAATATATATATAAAAATTAGCAATCGATAGAAAATAAAAAAAAGACGGGGGGAAAAAAAACATTTAATGAAGTAGAATACATTTTCATAGATTATTTATTGTACGAATTATTTTATTAGAAATAGTCTTTATGGAAGAACGTTGCTTTAAAAATTGACAAATGTAGCTCAATCACTTTCGTGTCGAATTTGAGTTTAATTTTGATTTGTTTTTTTTTTTTTTTTTTTTTTTTTTAAAGCTACGAATGTTATCGTCTTATTGCCACGTGAATATTTTTCTCTTAGCACATCAACGGATACAATCGTTTATTTATTATACAATATCTATATGCCATATAATATATAGTTCAATAACATAAATAATCGTATCGACAAAGTATAATAATAGTACTCTTAAATGATGTATATTTTACAATTTCCCTCACAATCAATACCATACACACAAATCATTCATTTATTTGCTTAGATCAATAGTCGTATGTGTGCGGTATGTACATTAGTTTAGAATATTGAAATTATTGGCATTAAAATCGACGAATGATAATAAAGACCAGAAAAGAGTCACGAATTTGGGTCGATGTAGTAAAGCGAACGATTTATCCTTTACATCGCTTTTACCTTTTCGATTTTCCCATCTGCAACAAAAGAATTCTAAATGGTGAATTATTATTGTTTATTCTCTCTGATGTTTTTGTGCTGTTTTGTGTGTTTTTTTTTTTTTTTTTTTTTTTTTTTTTTTTTTTTTTTTTTTTAATGCTTAAAGAGGAGAATTTCCATGCTCGGTTGGGGACGGTCACTTCGACATATAATATTTAATATAAAAGTATGAATGAATTTAAAGCATCAACTGCAAGAATAGAATAAAGTAGCAAGCAAGAAGCTCTTAGTTGCTAGTATAAAAACGCATAAAAAATGGTAATGTTCATAATAAGTAAACGTTTATATTATAAGTAAGTACAATCGAATTATATTTTGTTTCTAGAAAGATAGAATTAAAGCGCTATAGCGCATTATAAAAATAAACTGAAATATATGGATTTATGGTTGAATAAAACTGAGCCATATAATCTATAAATAATTATAATATTCGTGATATATTTAAGGAATATTTTTCACGTCAACATTCACGCGAATGATAATAGAATAGTGATTCGGTAATTATAAAGTTTTTATGGGCTTTGCAAATGAATCATAAGAATATGTTGCCTGGATACAATAATCAATTAATTAAACAACGAAAATACTCGCTCTATTAACAGACCCAACGAGTCCACTTCGTTATTATACCTTTACTTATTTAAAATATAGGTAATGTGAAATTTTTTTAATTAGCCTTGTGCTTATCCTTATGCACGACAATAAATTTTAAATAAATTTTAATGGCAAAGTAATGCGAACTGAAAAATAATCGATCTTCCCCGAAGAGGTTACTAAAAAAATAGCGTTAAAAAGGTTTTAAATGCCCATTTTTCCGCAAACTCGTAGAATTACGATAGTTAATCTTATCTGCAAAGCTAAATTCAAGCGCAACGCGTATGAACTACCATTTCACCATCTCCCATAAATCCGAATCAGTTGGGCGTCGATAATTAAAATTCAAATTTAATAACTTCCTCGCAATCATGACGAGCTCGCTGAATCCTCCAAGTTCATCGCGACAACGAGCAAAACAACAACCGGCTCTTTCCGACTCCCGTAATTAATCTTTCCTTGGCGGTGGAAAAAAACGGCGCGTCAGACTGCAACGCATATAAGAGAGAAACAAACGTGTCTGACTGCGTGGAAAATAAAAGCTCGTCTGCCCCGTTCGAGTGTATATAACTCGGGTCGATGCATTCACTGGCTGCATTATGCTAGAGTTTACAGCATTGAAGGGTTACGTGAAAAACTCGAGACGGGAAAATTCCCTTTACATCCTCATTTTTTGTTTTTTCATGTTTCATTCTTATATATATATATATATATATATATATATATATATGGATGGTAATGACACTTGCACGAATTAAAGAATTCGTAAGGGTAATGGTGAATCGAATCGAGGCATGGAACAAGGACAGGAATAATCTCCCCCTATAACTTTTACTTTTACCGCGCTTTCTGCACTTTAGAAAATTCAAGCTCGGCCGCTTCAGTGAATCCACTTGCACTTCTGCACCTCTTGTGTACAAATAATTCTTTGCAAAAACTAACGTAGATCTCTACTTGAGTACGGTGGTAAAAATCATTATTTTAGAGTCCAATTAATTTTACCCCTCCTTGTCATTTTGCCGAATATTACTATCTATTTGTCCTCCTCTATGATTAGATAACTAAGCACATTCCCTTCGACAATTTATATTACAATAATTGAGCGATTAACGGTTATTATATTTTGCGCAAAATTTTTTGCGATTTTATTTCGTATTTTTATCTTTATTTTATTTCTTTCTAAATTCACGTCTCCACTACAGACGTATAAAGTTTATGTGAATTATATTTTGCCAAATTAAAGTTTTTATATAATTCAAGATTGCTTGGAAAACCTAATTTACTTTCCTTCCTTTACATCAAAGTACATTATTTATCATATCATATATATATATATATATATATATATATACATACATACATACATACATACATACATATATAGTATTCTAGATTATAATCAAGATTATAAAATCATATAAACATAATTTCACCTTTTGAAATCAATAACTTCTGACACATAAAATAAAAATTACTACGTAAGGGTATATTCATCTTAAATATATACGCGCGCGCGCGCGCGCGTGTGTGTGTGTGTGTGTGTGTGTGTCTGTGTGTGTGTCTAATTTACTTTTTTTTTTATTTATAAAAGTTTCAATAATAATTGATAAACATTTGAATTATTTAGAATTTTAAAAGTACTATTTGTAAAACTTATTATTTTAATATCGTAAAACATAAAATCCAGCGCATACAGGAATACAAATGTAATCTAAAATTTCATTATTTAAATTAATTAGAAAATGTTAATTTATGTAGATTTCATAAATTAAATTCTTCATTACTATTTATTACTTTAATTCATAATCATAGAAAAAGCTGTCTAACATCTCATGGGTATTTAGAAAAGCTTTTTAAAATACTTTTAGATTTTGTTTGCTGTAACTTAAATGTAATAAAAAAAATTTGTTTCGAGTATATAAAATTCAAACTACTAAGAAGATGATAATTTATTTAGAATATTTTATTGTTTCATTGTCCGGTATCTTTGTTCGAATTAAGAAAAACAAAAAATTCTGTACAATTGAAAAACGTTGAATATAATGTAATAATGAAGAGCCTCATTTTTTAATTATGTAATGAAATTATTTTAACAGTTAGTTAGAAATATATTTAAAATTATTCCTTTCTTCATGCCAACGTACGAGAAATATATAAAATCTATTATAGAAATACTGTATATTCTAGATTATAAAATCACATAAATATAATTGAACCTATTGAAATCGATAAGTTTTGACACATAAAATAGAAACTACTACGTAGGGGCACACTCGTCTTAAAATTATATTTAATATTTCGACGAAATATTGGAAAATACTCGCTCCGTAAAAGCTATTCACGAACTTGAGATCCATTGATTTTCATCGCATTCAGTAATATTGCTGACGCTCGTGTAAAATATATGAACTTTAAAATAATATTTCAATTATACTGTACACATATTGAATGAACAAACGTGCAATCAAGCAAATTCTGTGCCAAATGAAAATAAAATCATTCGAGAAAGCTCCCTCTGGATTTTATAAATATACTTCAAAATGAATAATATATTTAAATGTTGAAGCTTAGCCTGCAAAATTATCGCTATGATAATAATAATGCCGCAATTATATATGTGTATTACAATACGTAAAGATTTGTGTGCGCGCGTGTGTGTGTGTGTGCGTGCGTGCGTGTGTGTGTGTGTGTGCGCGCGCGCGCGCGTGTGTATTTTCTTAGCATATAAATTATTCGATTTTGCAATTAAAATGTATTTAAATTCTTATAGAATTGCTCTCTAAATATCTGTCTATTAATTGACAGATTTATATAAGAAATGTAATTACTCAGGATTGCAATGTTATTTCAATTGAAAGCTATCCAAACGTTAAGCTTATTATGGTCAATGGAAATTCATTATGAATTAAAAATTATTTCTCTTATTTATTTTCAGTCTGTCGTTTCTTATAATATAATTATAAAAATGGGAGAATTATAGTTAAAAAATAAAAAAAAAAAAAATCAAACAAAAAACAACATAAACTAATTAACTACGTACATACAGCTACGTTTAATTCAAATCGTTGTTTACTGAGAGCTGGATAGATACATGATCCAAGAATATTCACATAAAGATGTATTAAAAGAATCAATTAGCCGAAAGTAAGACGCCCAAAGTTTCGCATAAATAACGAAAGAAGCAATTTCATTTTACCTGCATGGGGCTAGATTAAATTGAGAAAGACGACGGGGTATTTTGTAAATTAACGCATCCTTAAATTGCACGAATTTGCAGTATAACATTGAACGTGAAAATAAGAAGAAAATTAGGAGAGTAAGTGAAGTGGCGGCCGGAAGTGGTGAAAAAATCTCACTTTTGCACATGAAAGCTGCTCCCGAAAATGTAGCCTACCCCGGGGGATATTTCGATTGGTTAGGTAAAAGTCGAGGCGAATCCGCTCGACATATCCCTGCAAATCCCCGTAATAAACAGCGCATCCTTGCGTCTGTCTCTGTTGCAG